TCTGGCTTCCTTCCCCACATAGACATTTGAGTTCCATCTTTTTCTGCTCTTTTTGCCTAGTCCAGTAACAGCCACCCATTTTCTGTTTTCCAAAATTGTGTTTGTTTTACTTCTTCCTCTTTGTTCTTTTGGGTTTATAACATTGCTATTTATTACCTTAGTGCAGTGGCGGTGAACCTTTTAGAGACTGAGGGCTGACCTGCAACCAGAACCCATTTATTTATTGCAAAGTGTCAACACTGCAATTAAACTTAAATACTGAGGTTTTAGTGTGGAAAAAAAAAACTCTTAACATCTTTTGTTTTAAAAGAAAAATACAGTAAGGGACATACCATAGGTTTGCTGCCACTGCCTTAGTGGGTTGCAGGAGGGAATAGAGATAATTACTGTTTTGGCCATATTTTATTAGAAATCTGATGGCACACTTCCCATAAAAATGCTTTTAAGAAATAGTCCTGAGATTGTTTTTCCAGAATAATTAACCAAGTAAAAAGGTTAATCTTACATATTAATTTCTCTGACCATGTTTTCCTTCTCATTATCTCCAAATGTTCTATTAAAAAATCTAGTGGAGTGTGGTGGCACACACCTGTAATCCAGCATTTAGAAGGCTGAAGCCAGATTGCTGTTAGTCTGAGACCAGCCTCGGCAGAATAAAAAGTGAATGCAAGGCCAGCCTGAGTTACAGTGAGACCCTGTCTCCAAAAAAAAAAAAAAAAAATTCTTCCTGTAATTCTTTAGGCAGCCAGTATTTCCATTGCAAAGGAGAAAATAGATCAACTCAGTCAGGGTCATACCTAAATAGTAAATACACGGTTTGAGAATTAATGTTTCTAATTTTATAGTTCTTTCTCTTCTTTAATAACAGCTTCATTAATCTTTCGTTTATATATGTGAAAATTGTCAAATATGGAAGAAGAGAGATGCAGCAGGAAAAGTGCACCCCTCTGTCATCTTGACTGTGGGTGACACACACATACGGGTTTAGCACTTGTAATGAGCACAGTGTTCTTGTGAGAAACCTTGATAATGTGGGAGCCACGGTGAATGGGTACTCTGTGTCTCCCTCTCAGTTTTACTGTGAACTTGTAACTTCTCTAAGGTCTGTTTTAAAAGGGCTCAGAGGACCTTTCTCTGCTTGTCCCATCTAAGGAGATTCCGTTATCCTGTTATCCTGTTCAATCTTAGCACTTACTGTGCCCTGCAAGTGTTCGCTTTCCTTGTTTACTTCCTTATGATAGCAGTCTCCCATAAGCCGTAACTTCCTAAGAGCTACTACTGCTAAAATGTACTAGAAAAGTCAACAAATATTTTCCTATTTAAAAAATGTAAGGCGAGATTAATACAATATTCCACTATGTATTTATCAGCCAGGTACTGTATCATTTTCACAACCTGTAAATATTCTTCAGTAGATATATCTGATATACAAAAGAAATTTTAAAAATCACCATGCCATTATTATACTTAACAATTAATTCCTTAGTCTAAACCCAGTAACCAGTATACATAGTATGACCAAAATATACAGATGATCAAATTTTAAATTTATTATATAAAAGAAACATTACCATTAATGCTTCTCAGAAAATATACCTTCTTTAAAGACAAGGTCTTGGGTATAGCCCAGA